AGGAACAAGCCTCCCAGTTGTTCTCCTGTATGCCAAATACTGAATCGCTTTGAGGACGGAACTCGATAAGTTTATAAAAAGGATTATATCACATGGTGCCTGTGATAGGAGACCCTGTGGCCCAGAAGTTTCTGCCAGTCCTATGCACATAGGTACATATTTTGTAACCCTCTGTCAATATAAATACAGAGGTGTGATTGTACATACACAGAAAAGCAGGCACATGATTTATTAATTCCATATATATCACAGGACCTCAGCTTGTCAAACAATAATTACAAGGCAATAACACACCTTGTTACAATAAATGACTCCCTAAGATTTTCTCCCACAGCAAACCAGGTAAAAAGGACAATTATTCTGAGGGTAAGACAGTATTACGTGCATCTGATTATTAGCTTTCAAATGAACTCACTGTCTGCAATTCTTTACAGCCAAATGAAGTACTCCGTTTTTTTTTTCTGCACATTTGACAAGTTCAGCCCTTTCCAGGAAAATGTCTTTTCAGATGCATGATTGCCTTTTGTTAGGGCAAGAATGAACAGATGACAACTGTAACACAAAGGAGACATGCTTGTGTCAGTTTTACAAAGCAAACCCAATTTTAAACTTTCTGCCGGGAGGGCGTACTCAGAAATATGAAGAGGGAAGGGGTTTTGTGCGCTGTCAGTAGCGAGTCTGGGAAAGACAAGCAAGAGACAGACGCAGGGACAAGCAAGCTGTGGTTTGTCCAAAGCCGTTTCAGTGAGAGGCACTTCAGTTCTCCCACCAAGGTAGACCTGAGCTGATCCCCTTCCATCCCACGGAGATGCCTGCCCTCATCCGCAGGGCAGCCCAGTCCAGAGCTCACGGAGCGAACCGTGGGAAGATGTTCAAAAGCAACTCAAACTACAGAGCACTAAAAAAGCAAAGGCGGTTTTTAGTAGCCTTTCAACCTGGAGCTGAGGCTGACTGAGGAGGAACGGGATTGCTGTGCTTGCAGTTTGTTTTATGTATGCACCTTGAAGCCAGTGCAGAAGATGCAAAATAACAGTACTTTGAAGGAAAAGAAACCAGAAGGCCAAGAGACAGGCAACTGAACGGAGCAGATTGACTTAACAGATACGATACGTTTTGTTGCTGTCTGCATTATGTGTGGAAATTTATACTCTAAGTGACATAGTAACAGACCAGATTGTAATCAAACAGAACTGCTGAGGTGTCAGGATCACAGATGCTGCCTTTTGAAAATACCTAAAACAGAAAGTAAAACGTTGAAAAGTCCACCGTGGGGAGTACAGTGAAACTGCTCTGTGACATTTCTAACCATTTCTTTCTGCTTTGTATTGGTCTCTCTGGTGCTGGCGGTCTGATGACCTAAGTGAGTAACAACAGCTACAGTTCAAATAAACCTTGATGAAAAGCAAAGGCTGGCAGCAAACTGGCCAGGGCAGCCTGGAGACACGCGGTGTCTATTGTGCGCTAGACACTGGCCGGGGGGGAAGGGCTGCTCCACGCGTTTTGGGGAACTTCAGCCAATGGATTCCTCCCCTGGGTGTTACGGGAGGGCTTGGCCAGCATGTGAGAAAGGGAGGGGAAGAGTTTGAAAACAACCCAGCAGGCTCGAAGGAAGGAAGAAGGTTAGAAAGTGGCCCGCTTGGCTCTGTTCGAGCGTTTCGCTGCAGGTGATCGGCGGCGTTAGGGGCGGCAGGGCAGGAGGAGCCCGCCGGGCGCGGGCCGGCGCCGTCGAGGTCCCGGGCGCAGGTAACCCCATAACTGGGAGGGGAGGAGGGCAACTCTGCTGGTCTGCTTTGATGGGGAATTTGGCGGCGTTTGCTGTTCATACAGCTGGAGGAGGGAGGGAGGCAAGCAGGCAGGGAGCGACTCTGTGCAGCAGCTCAGGGATTAATGTGTGATTTGGCTGATTCCTTTATCTATCACAGGACGTTTTGAGGCTAGAAAGGCAGAAAGAGATGATGTCTTTTATTAGATTGGCTGATAGAGTGGGAAAACACAAACAAGCTCTCATGCACGTACAGCCAAACCTAGATGAGATTTTCAGTGGCTGGTATTCAAAGAGCTAAGAGACATCCAGCAGGAGAAAGAAGAAAACACAACTTTTTCTTGTCTGGAGGTGTGCTCGCTGGTTCAGGGTTTTTCATCTTTTTTTGATTAATGACCCAGATTTTGGGCCTCTTGGAAGTGATCCAGTCCTCAATTTTAGCAGAAAATCCTCCAGCAATTTTCCGCAGTGCTTTAAAACATTTAGTAACAATTGGCATGATGCACGGATGTGGTATTTTGTTGTATTTTCTCTTGTGCAGGTTCTTTTTACTGTTTCAATCTGCTGTCTCTGCCATCTCTCCCCTCCTCAGTGCAAAAGCCCTTTAAGGGTTATCTTCTCTCTTACAGGGGGGAGTTAATTCCATTTTATTTGTTAATGGCCTGGATTGACTTTCCAAATTTCAGTAATGTCACTGTGGTGTTTTGCCTTGTGCATGCTAATCAGTGGATGTGCAAAGAGCAAAGTGGAAATTATGTTTTGATTGATGAGAAAACAACATCTTTCAAGGGTGCCTCTAGGTTGCATGTGGAAATAGTCTTGTATGAACATGCTAAACTTCCCTGACTAGAAAATGCCTGGAACTTAGTGTCTTGGTGAAGACGAAAGATTTTCTATTATTTGTCTGAGAGGGGAAGTGGTTTTTTCATTACTAAAATATAGCAGTCAAAGAGGATGGCTGAGTAAAAATATCATGCTGCACAGTCTTTTTAGTAGAATATCATTTGTTGTTTTAATTCTTAAACCTGCTTATGATGATTCATGCAGAGCCAGGCCAAAAAATGAATTTACAGGGTCTAATATAGGGAAAGTTTAGCTCTTAATTCAGTCAAATCTACACCTATTCAGCATAGAATTATAGTGGAGTAATATGTAAAAATACTATAAAAGTCAAGTCATAATGTATCAGCTGAGGGGGATTCTCTTGCTGGTAGCTGAAAAATCCTGCAGTGCAGGAGTACTAAAGCAGAACTGATCTATGTTTTATTCCCTCGTAGCAGTGAAGTGCTATTGCTTAGGCTCTCAGGGGTGAGAAATTAGAGAGGGAAAATAAGGGATTAGCTGAGGTTTTAGGAGACACTGTGAACGGGGACAAAATATTTGACAAGGAAATGGGACCATCATTTCTAATTAGGTGGCCTTAGGCAGTGTACATAGAATAAACAGGGTAAGGGTAAAGTAATATAAAGTAGAACATTTAGAGGGCTGCGGATGGCTATCAACCCCCTAAATGTGCACTGTGCTAAGGGTTTTAGCAATGAAGACGACTGGCTGCAGCATCTTTTATGGGTCAGCTTCCCTGAAAATGAATGAGTCCCATCTGCCAAGTTTGAGGCAATTGCGTGGTGTCCTCCTGCCAGGATCTCTAAACTCCTGTCCTGTAACACCGAATACTGCAGACAGGGAGCGGGTACATGGATCCTGTGTGAAGAGGAAACAAAAAGATCTGAAACCCTGGTGTTAGACTAGAATAACATAAAGAAGTAGTAATATTTTTCTGGTGGTTTTGCCTACAAAAAATGTAATGATTCCTAATTAAAGGAGGAGGATAGAGTGCTTGAACAGGAGTCAGGAAGAGCTGTCAAAGCGTCCACATTTCTCTTTCAGTTTTTGTGCAGAACTCCATCTGCCTTGGTGAGGTTTTGTAATTCGACCTGCAAAAGCCCCACTTCGCCCCTTCCCGTTTGCTGCGGGTGGAACTGCTCCCCCACCTTCCAGGCTTTGCCATTTCAGATCTAATCTAGAACCCGTTCAAGGTTTCTGCTGCTAACCGACACTAATGACCCCCTGAAATGACACAAGTCAGGAGATAACGACCAAGTGCACTTTTACGAGTGGGTCGGGGCAACTAATGGTACACAAGGTGGGAAAATGGATCTAGCTGGCCCGCTGCGTGCGTGACGCCCCGAAGGGCACGGCTCCGTGCAGCTGCCCAGGCAACACAGCTTTGCTCCAGCCACCCGGCCAGGTGGGCCGAGCGCAGCTCGGGC